CACATGGGATCTGGTGGCCATGCTGCGGCATGGGGTGAGGCACACGGGCCCTGCCACTCACTCGGTGCAGATTGCATGGAACCATGGCGGACGCGAGGTGAGGAGGGGGGCTTCTGTAGAGAGTGTGTGGGTGGTTACCAGAGCAGCCGGTAATGGTTACCAGAGAATAATGTTACCACAAACTACCCTGCCTGCCACGCACTCGGTGCAGATTGCATGGAACCACGGGGGGGCCGAGATGAGGACGCCTTGTATAGTGTATGGTTGTTGGAATGAGGTCACCAGAGGATGTGGTTACCAGAAAATGTGGTAATCATAGAATGTGGTTCCAGAAAATGTGGTAATCATAGAATGTGGTTACCAGAAAATGTGGTCATCATAGAATGTGGTTACCAGAAAATGTGGTCATCATAGAATGTGGTTACCAGAAAATGTGGTCATCATAGAATGTGGTTACCAGAAAATGTGGTAATCATAGAATGTGGTTACCAGAAAATGTGGTCATCATAGAATGTGGTTACCAGAAAATGTGGTCATCATAGAATGTGGTTACCAGAAAATGTGGTCATCATAGAATGTGGTTACCAGAAAATGTGGTCATCATAGAATGTGGTTACCAGAAAATGTGGTCATCATAGAATGTGGTTACCGCTCACTCAGTAAAGTCACGCTGAATCAGGCGAGCCAGAAGTGAGGAACGCCAAGTCAACTAAAAGATGGATTTCATCCCATTCGGCCCCTCCCTTGTGCAGGTGCTACTGGTGGGGGAGCTATCAGGCGGGTGGAAGAACCCAGTGGCGGCCACTCCAGTGGGCAGCTCCAAGTTCGTCCTCGCGCTCAGGCTGCCCCCCTTGCCCCACCCCATCACCCCTTTGCATCCATCGCCGTTCTTGTGTGCAGGTGCTACTGGTGGGGGAGCTCTCAGGCGGGTGGAAGAACCCAGTGGCGGCCACTCCAGTGGGCGGCTCCAAGTTCGTCCTCGCGCTCAGGCTGCCGCCCGGATCGTGAGTCTCTGCTTCTACCTGTTCTGTTCCTGCTCGCTTCTGCAAGAACTGTCTGTGCTACGTGTAGTGAGGGTGTTTTTGAGACGTCTCAAAAACACCCTCACTACACGTGGCTATTCTCCCTGTTCTGTTCCTGCTCGCTTCTGCAAGAACTGTCTGTGCTGCTGTTGTCTTTGCCTTCCACACTTGGTCAGCGCACCACCCACTCCAGTGGGGGGAAGGGCAATACTCACATAGTGGACGGCACTGGGGGACGGCACTGGGGGATGGCACATTCCCAACTCAGCCTACCCCCTCTGGTCTCTCTCTCCCCCTCTCCCATCCCACTGCCCCAGGTACGCCAAATGTTCCCACTGCCCCAGTAGAGGGGCATTGGCTCCATGCAGCAGTCCTGCCTTTATCACTCCCTTTCTTCACGGCACTCCATTGTGTTCCTCCCACTCCCATCCCCCTCCTCTCTCCCCCCCCTTACCCCCAGCTATCGCCACAAGTTCATAGTGCACAGGCACTGGAGGCATGCAGCAGACCTGCTCCCTCTCACTGCCTCTTTCTGGCTTGCACCCCCCTCGCATATCCACTCTCTCCCCCCTCCCCCCGCACAGCTACCGCTACAAGTTCATAGTGGACGGGCACTGGCGCCATGCAGCAGACCTGCCCACAGAGGTGGACGAGTGGGGCAACACCAACAACGTGCTTCATGTGGGCTCCCTGGCCCGACACAACAATGTAAGTCTGTGTGCTCACAAGCCTGTGCCTGCACACATCCCTCTCTGCATGCAAATGTGGCTGGGGAGCATGTGAAGGGGACCGGCCCACAGAGGTGGACAAGTGGGCCAACACCAACAACGTTCTTTCATGTGGGCTCTCTGGCTCGGCACAACAATGTAAATCTGTGTGTGTGCTCACGAGTCTCTCTGCTCACGAGTCTCTCTGCACAACAGTCTGGCTGAGGAGCGTGTGAAGGGGACCTGCCCACAGAGGTGGACGAGTGGGGCAACACCAACAACGTGCTTCATGTGGGGTCACTGGCACGTGGGGTCACTGGCACGTGGGGTCACTGGCATGGCACAGCAATGTGAGGCTGTGTGTGTGAGGCTGCCCACAGAGGTGGACGAGTGGGTCACTGGCACAGCACAACAATGTGAGTCTGTGTGCTCACAAGTCCCGTTGCCCACAAGTCTCTCTGCAACACCAGCCACACCTCCCTTTCACATCTGGATTGGGGCAACACCAACAACGTGCTGCACGTGGGCTCTCTGGCTCGGCACAACAATGTGAGTCTGTGTGTGTGCACACAAGTCCCATTGCCAAGAGATATCCACGCCGCACCAGTCATGCACTCCTGCTCCTCGCACCAACACCACCAGCGTGCTGCCTTTAGAGTCGACTCAGAAGTCACCTCGCACCAACACCACCAACGTGCTGCCTTTAGAGTCGACTCAGAAGTCACCTCGCACCAACACCACCAACGTGCTGCCTTTAGAGTCGACTCAGAAGTCACCTCGCACCAACACCACCAACGTGCTGCCTTTAGAGTCGACTCAGAAGTCACCTCGCACCAACACCACCAACGTGCTGCCTTTAGAGTCGACTCAGAAGTCACCTCGCACCAACACCACCAACGTGCTGCCTTTAGAGTCGACTCAGAAGTCACCTCGCACCAACACCACCAACGTGCTGCCTTTAGAGTCGACTCAGAAGTCACCTCGCACCAACACCACCAACGTGCTGCCTTTAGAGTCGACTCAGAAGTCACCTCGCACCAACACCACCAACGTGCTGCCTTTAGAGTCGACTCAGAAGTCACCTCGCACCAACACCACCAACGTGCTGCCTTTAGAGTCGACTCAGAAGTCACCTCGCACCAACACCCCCAACGTGCTGCCTTTAGAGTCGACTCAGAAGTCACCTCGCACCAACACCACCAACGTGCTGCCTTTAGAGTCGACTCAGAAGTCACCTCGCACCAACACCACCAACGTGCTGCCTTTAGAGTCGACTCAGAAGTCACCTCGCACCAACACCACCAACGTGCTGCCTTTAGAGTCGACTCAGAAGTCACCTCGCACCAACACCACCAACGTGCTGCCTTTAGAGTCGACTCAGAAGTCACCTCGCACCAACACCACCAACGTGCTGCCTTTAGAGTCGACTCAGAAGTCACCTCGCACCAACACCACCAACGTGCTGCCTTTAGAGTCGACTCAGAAGTCACCTCGCACCAACACCACCAACGTGCTGCCTTTAGAGTCGACTCAGAAGTCACCTCGCACCAACACCACCAACGTGCTGCCTTTAGAGTCGACTCAGAAGTCACCTCGCACCAACACCACCAACGTGCTGCACTGCATGTTGGTTTCCTGGCCCGGCACAACAGTGTGAGTCTGGGTGCTCACACATCTGAAGCCAAGTCTGCACACAGACCAGTCGTGTACTCCCTTGTCAGCACCATTCCTCACACCAACACTAACAACGTGCTGCACTCCATGTGGGTTTCCTGGCCCGGCACAACAGTGTGAGACTGGGTGCTCGCACATCTGAAGCCAAGTCTGCACACAGACCAGTCGTGTACTCCCGTGTCAGCACCATTCCTCACACCAACACTAACAACATGCTGCTCGTGGGGTCCCTGCATCTCCTTTTGAGACGTCTCAAAAGTCAACATGCTGCACGTGGGGTCCCTGCATCTCTTCCTCTCTGCCTCTCTGCCTTTCTGCCTGTCTGCCTGCCTGCCTGCCTGCCTGCCTGTCGGCCTTCCCTCTGTCTGCCTATCTCTCCCTGGCCACCCTGAGCAGGATACAGTGAGGGAGAGGGTGACAGAGCGTCCACTCACGGACCTCGAGAGGCGAATGGTCAGCTTCACAGCCAACCACGTTCCTCCCATGCGGCGCTTATCTGTCTCCCTGTCTCCTTGTTTGCCTCTCTACCTGTGTGTACGAAGCAGGATGCGGTGCGGGAGAGGGTGATAGAGCGGCCACTCACGGACCTCGAGAGAAGAATGGTCACCTTCGCCTCGCAGCGCGTGGCCTTCTCGGTCTCTCCCATCACCTTCACGCCCAAGCTGCGCCCGGCACGCTAATGAGTTGTGAGGCGTGTAGGTTGATTCTTACAGCGCCTCTTCGCCTCCCAGCTCGTTGCCTTCTCTCCCTTGCTTGCAGCACATTGCCTCATGGCTGATTCTCACAGCAACTCATTGCCTCGCAGCACGCTGCTCTCTCCATCTCTCACCCAAGCTGCGCCCAGCACGTTCGTGATTCTTGAGGTGTGTAGGTGCAATTAGACTGACTAACATTATAAAAAAAAAGGGAGCTATTTACTGAGCTAGTCCCGATGGGTTTGTATATGTAAAAGGGCTAACCAATTGATTTTAAGATTACAAAAGCAAAAGAGCATGTAAAGATGTACATCTAGACCCATGCTGGAAGTGTAAGTTGGACTGGGAGTTGGTTGGTGTATTTTGAGGGGAAAATATGTCAATGGTAACTTACATGGGGAACTATAACGCGTACGGTAACGATTTCAACGCAATTGGTAACTCGCTTAACGCGTTTGGTAAGTCGCTTAACACGTTTGGTAACTCGCTTAACGCATTTGGTAACTCTACACTAGCAGCCCATCACGCGAATGGTAACTACATGAAATTCCCGCTGAAATTTTCCTGACAATAAGAAATTTATCAAGTTTGAGAGCTTTTACGCACATTATTATCTTTCGTGAACAAGTCTCGCCGCGAATTTAAAGGACCCCGTTTGTTTTCATACCACGGACTAGAAAGTTTCAGAGCCATTTTATATATATATAGGTAACTCATACAAAAATGGACAAAATCATATTTTTGATAGCATGATTGCGGACTTGCAAAAGGATAAAAAAACATTTCCCGAAAGGACATTGGGAATTTTACCTTTTTTTTAATAATGCAACGACGGAGAATTTTTGCATGTGGGGAAAATAAACCTTTTTAAAATTCCATCTTTCATTCTTTAAATAAAGATCCATAAACGCCTGGTTGCAAGAAGTTTAGGGTTTTTGCTCTCAAATTCATGGTTGTTGCGCTCAAATTTATTTGCCATCGGAAAGGGATATATATTTGTTTGCCCCGGCTGCACGATAGAATAAAGTACAAAACGTTTGCGGAAAAAGCGCCAAAATATTATTTATGTCTGAACAACTGTTTTCATAACGCTTACGTTTTAGAAATTATCTGGAAAATCGGAAAGTGTGTCAGGATTTCGGAAAGTTTGTCAGAATTTCGGAAATTGTGTCAGAATCTCGGAGAGTGTGTCAGACGTTTCTACTTCACGATTCGTCAATTTAATCTGACGCGAGCGGGAAAAACCAGAATCAGGCTCAATTTCGGCGGGAATTTCATGTAGTTACCATTCGCGTGATGGGCTGCTAGTGTAGAGTTACCAAATGCGTTAAGCGAGTTACCAAACGTGTTAAGCGACTTACCAAACGCGTTAAGCGAGTTACCAAACGCGTTGAAATCGTTATCGTACGCGTTATAGTTCCCCATGTAAGTTACCATTGACATATTTTCCCTATTTTGAGTCTAACGTTCCACTTCTGTTAGCAAGTTGTGCAGTTTATTGAAGACACCAGTGGTTGACAGAAGGTTCTGCCACATCAGCATAACGGCCTTTGGTTTTGTCAACAACCGAACTCATGTTGTGCTGGAGGTACGCGCTGTCGCGTGGAACCGTTTTTCATTCGTGAGTTTCGTCATTTGCCACATGTACCTATGCCAAGCGTGCAAAAGCGACACGCACCTGGCCCCCTCCTCAGCGTCAAACGGCAGATTTTTAGGTGCCCCTTCTGCGACAGTACCGAAAGGTTCAATGGAAGAATGTGGAGATGAAAGGTGGGCGTATAAGATGCCGCGGATTGTATGCGCTGGCATGGCCGTGCGCGCCGATTGGCCAAAAAAGGAGGCTGGATAGAGTCGTTCGCCAGTTGCCTCCTTGCCACTTGTCCCCTACTTCCAGGAACCCCGATAAGGCGGGCTCGTCTGCCACTTGCTTCTTCCCAGCTGTTGAGATGAGAATGTTCATCCGCCAGTCCATTCCATTACCGTCCCTCTGACTTATCTCTTCTCGGTGTACTTTTTCAGTGTCATTTCTATAAAGAACCAGCAATCGAACGGTTTTGATAAGAGCCAGAAGATTATGACACGGTCGAGTGGGATGTTTTGCGTGTCAGAACGGCGTTTGGGGGTCGATATTAGCATTAAATTAGCTATTGATACACCCATCCTAGAATATGTATGGTGTTCAGCATATGGTACCTCCTCCCCTTTTTGCCCTCTTTTGATCCATCCCCCCAGCATTACAGTATCAGTAACTACTGTTCCACAACGATTAATTAACGCCGACCATGGAACGGGTCGGCCCTGACGTTCCTCGGCTGTCCTACTCGGTTCCAGCGCAACTTAACCCGCATCCACTTGCCGCTCTCTCTCGTCAAGTCATGGTCATCGAAATCCTTTGACCCACGGGAGGAGAATAATATATTGTATCTCCCAATCGCGTCACGCCGCGTCAGCGCTTTCATCCCGGTTCTAACACACTCTTGCGACGATCTGGCAGAGGGCCGGGCCCAGCACAGCAGTTGTTGTCGTTGCGAGCGCGCGATGCGATGCGAAGACGGAAGGAACGGGCTTGTCCACGACGGGACGCGTTCTTTTTTCCCTTGTTAGTCTCGGAGTTTTAGTAAGAGTAATAGTACTCGAAATAGTACAGTACGATGCACGTCGGTCGTGGTGGCGGTGAGCAGTGCGCTCCTAGTGACTGGCATGGCATGCAGGCTGGCACTGTTAGTGCAACACTTACAGTCTTACTGTGCCTGCTCCTCCTGGCCTTCGACCCGCACTGAGCTGCGATGGACTGGGCTGAGATGAGTTGTGGGTGAGGCAGTCACTCGGAGAGATAAGTGTGCGACCCGCCGGAGGCCTTTGCAGAGTCTAAGACACATTTAGTAAGTTTCGCTTCTCTCAAAGCTTCTACGCAGATCACAAGGCGACGATCACAAGGCGCCGCGACGAGCTTTAGTCACCCTTCATGTCTCGCATTGATACGTGGTTATCGGAGTTCAACCGTAGCCAAAGGCGCCAGCCGCAGACCCGCGGATCAAAACTATATTGTTAATTTACCTTTTCTCTTCCCTGCCGCGGCGGCGATTATAACGTCGGCCGATCCGGGGGTGAGGGGGCAGTAACTAATCCTTCGAGTCTCAGAATCAGCGTTTTTTTTCCAAATTAGAGGTTTGAATGGAGTGCTGCGATCACGGCGTTGATGCTCGCAATTTCTGCGACAGTTGCGACACCGAGTTGGCGATGCTGTCGCACGGGTGGAGCTACCATGACCTCAGGCTCCTTCTCGCCGCACACGGAGCTGTGGTTTCGCCTAATTTCGCCAGCATTTTCGCAAAAAGCGACGGTTCTCTCGTGTGCCCCGAAGCCGGCAGCGGTACTCGAGCCGGCGCTCCGCTGGTTGCTCAAGCTACTAAGGCCGTCGTTTCTCCTCCAGTTGCTGCAAATGCCGCCTCCGCTGCCGCGCATGCTGACGTGTCGGAGCCTCTGATAGCCGCCGATCTGGCTGCATTGACGGAGTCCTTGTGGGCTGAGCTGGCAGCAATGGACGGCGATTACCGCTCTGCCACGTGTCAGGATCTCGACGCCGCTCGTTCAAGCGGCTGGCAGCTAATTGGTGACAACCTTAAATCGCCGCGCCGCCCTGCCAAAGCTCGAACCGCGACGCTGCTTGATAAACCCTGTCAGCAGAACGCGGCCCCGACGGCGGTCGAAATTGGTGCTGCGTCACCAAGGACTCAGACGGAAACACGGCAACATCATTATCAACCATTGGCCGTGGCCGCTCCGTCGGCTTCAGTGGAAACGAGTTCTGAGTCCACTCAAAAGAGCGCGGCGATTGCAACCGTCGTGGCGTCGTCAAAGCAACCGCAACAACATCAGCGGCAACAGCAACAACAACATCCCTTTGAGATGATCGAGTCACCTGCAGGAGCAACAACGAACATGGGGTTTATCACACCGGCTGCTGTCACACCCACTGCTGTCACTCCTGCTGCTGTTGCACCTGCTGTTGCTCTTGCCACTACGCCTTCTGTGAGCAGCCTCAGCGGGAGACCTGTTAAGGTTAGGAACGGTGCTATGCGGTACCGATGGTCCAGCAGTGGCAGCCTCGATTTGATTCCCGGAGCACCGATCGAGACACTACCGAAGAAGCAACAGCAGCAGAAGCCACGTTCAGGCAGCCCGAGCGTCAACCCGAAGCTGACCCAGAGCCTCGGCGAAGTCCCGGAACCGGACCTGAGTCCGAGGCGGCTGACTCCAAAGCGCAAGCGAGGGTCCCTCAGAAGCAGCAGCGATTCGATTGGTCCGTCCTGCCTGTTTCGGAGCCTTCCCGCCAGCTGCTCCCTAGGGAGTTCCCTTGGGAATTCCCCAGGCAGTGCCTCCCATACAGTCACACACAGGGATGTCACAAGGTGTACGGTCACGGGAAAAGGTTTCGATACAGTCACAAATCCGTGGGGATTTGCGTGCGCAAGGGCGAGCATGTCGGACTGTGCCTGTGGCCCTTGGGAGAGGCTCCCGGAGAGACGAGAGGGCTTTGCTGCAGTGCCCAGTGCCTCTGGATTCGCTACAGCCTGGAGTGCTCCTCCTGAGTTCGCTAAGGCCTGCGGTGCTTCTCCTGGGATCGCTACAGCCTCAGGTGTTTTCGGTTCAGCTGAAGCAGCCCAGCCTGCTGCGTCCATTTCTGCCAACGGCCGGGGGAATCAAGGCACGGGTTTGCACAGGGTGCCTAATTCTGGGCGTGATAGTATAGAGGGCCTGCAGCAGACGGATTTCGCGTCTCGACTCCCCCCAACTTACCACTCGTCCCACTCACGAAGATTTCTGCCCTTCTCCTCTCCTTTCTCATCTCCTTTCCCCGCTCCCTCTCCCACGCCCTTCCCCACTCCCATATCCCCTCCTTTTTCCTGTCCTTTCCCCGCTCCCTTCCCTGGCCCCTTCCCCCTTCCCACCTCTTCGAACCTGACTGCACCATTTACCTCCTCTTCTAACCTGACTGCACCATTTACCTCCTCCGCCTCATCCCTTCTCCCTGCTGCCGCTCCACCCCAGGGTTTAAGCCTGCCTCCTCCTTACCCTGGTGTCCTTCGTTCGCCCTACCTTCCACCCACTACTCGTCCCTTTCCCCCTCAACCGGGCCATTATTCCTCCCCTACTAGTCCCCTCCCGAGCCAATTCCACCTCAAAAACCCCCTCCCTAGTCACCCGTTCTCCCACTGCCACCTTCCCAGCAACCTACCATCTAGCAACTCTGCACCCAATTTTTCTCTTTCCCATACTTTTTACCCAATAGGTTTCTCTGCGCTCCCGACTTCCCCTGCTGCTAGTAAAGCCCTTTCCAGTTCCACCTCCCCCAGTATGCCCTGCTCCAGTTGTACCCTCCCCAAAGGCCCCTCCCTGATGGCTCGCTCCTGCTCTGCTCCTCTGATCGCCCCTGCCATAAGCAACCCCTCTGGGACACTGCAATCCACCCTTGGACTGCCGGCCACTGCCCCACTCTCTGCTGTGCTGCAACTGCCACAGCAATCATCACCCCCAGGATCAAGAGCGCAAGAGCTGGAGGCGTTTTTTGAGGCGCCTAAAAAACGGCCGCCCACTGCCGCCGCTGCCCCGCTCTCTGCTGCCCTGCACGTGCCGCTGTCGTCGCCTCCCCCGGGATCAAAGGCGCATGAGCATGATGAGGTGCATTTTGAGACGCCTCAAAAGTCGGCTCCACTTTCTACTGCTCTGCAAGTGCCTCTGTCGTCGTCTCCCCCGGGATCAAAGGCGCAAGAGCTAGAGGCGTTCTTCAAACGAAGCCTCAGCCTCGAGTCGCCTTGCAGGACAGAGTTTGACGTGCAGGTGTTCTTGAAACGAAGGCTGAGCGAGTGTAAGGCACCGGAAAGGGCCGCTGAGCTGGAGGAGTTCTTAAAGGGGAGCATGACAAAATCGAAGGACGAGTGTGTGGAGGCGGACGGTAGAGATGGGTTTCCCGAAAAGGCATAGAAAGAAGGGGGTGCAAAAGGGGGAAGGTGGAGGGGGGAGGTGGAGGGGGGAGGTGTTGGGTGGTGGCTGGAGGGGAAGATATTGGATCGTGGAGCCTTGTACAGTGGTGTGTAGCAGCAGCAGCAGCAGCAGCAGCAGCAGCAGCAGCAGCAGCAGCAGCAGCAGCACTTGGGAGATGGGGTGGAGTGGGCTTTGGATGAACAGCAATAACGCAGTAGCATTAGATGTAACGAAACACCTCTTAGTATGTGACTCCCAGCAATAGGAGCAGGAAGTGTGGATGGCTCGAAACTAGTTGTACATCATTGCGCTCTTTTAGGATGGCTCCCTGCAAGGGTAGACCATAGGTAAGCACTGAGGGCGTGTTCCTACGCTCTTATCAGGCAAACCTCTTGTCAGCCTTGCCTGGTAAAAGTAGCGAGGGTTTCTGGGTTTAGGGAATTTTCAGTGTGATTGACATGAGCTTGATAAGAGGTCGGCCTGACAAGGGGCCGTAGGAACACGCCCTGAGGTTGATGGCTCGTAAAGATCGTCTGATTGAACTTGTATGTGTAATCAATTCCAAGCGTGAAGCACTGTTTTGCAGATCTGGACACATGAATCGCTAAGGACTACCATAGATAATGGTAAATGATAACATTACCAGTAAAACACTTGCATTGAAGGAGGATGTGATTTTGAAGAAGGATGTGATGCAATCTTGAGACGAAACGTAGTTACTAAGGTTGAAGATCTATGTACACTATCGTATCGTACAACTGTTCTAAGAGCGTGTTCCTACGAGCCCCTATCAGGCCTACCTGTTATCAGATGAGCTTTGCGCGTCTGTAAATCGGCATTGTCGGTCTAACCTCTTGTCACAAGATTTTGCCGGTTTGCGCTTCTGCGCGACTGTAAATCAGTGCTGATGTGACCCCATGCGAAATTTTGTTATGGCCTTCGGTGTAAAATGCGGCCCGGTCCCAATTTGCGGGTGCCACATCAGTTGCATCACTAGAACAAAACTTGATCGTGCTCACCACCATCCAAGCTCGCTAATATGTTTTGGCGTCTCTTCGCTCTGCTTCTAGGTACATCAAATATTGCTCCGCTCATCGTGCACAGTATTGTAGAGCTGCTCTGCAGCATGGCTGATGTGCCGTTTCTCCCACGGCTGCTAATCGTCTGGCATGCATTTTACTACAATACCTTTTTAGACTGTGCCACGAAGGCGTTCATACAGCTGCTAGACCACATAGAGGCAGATAGTTGCGACCCTTGCAATGGGGAATCAAGGGGTGCGCTACGTGCACGCAACCGAGCATTACGGCGTCGGCGATTACAGTTATGGGAGGACGAGATGGCGTCCATGTCCGATGAGACATTCACGGTCCTGTTTAGAATGAACCGTGCCATCCTAGACTACGTTTGCGATGGAATGCGACATATCCTTAACCCGGTAATTGAACGGCACCATCTGCCGATCACAGTCGCAATCCTAGTACCGATCAAGTATTTCGCCAGCGCAATGTCGTACATTGACCTGGCGTTTTGGTTCGGCGTCCCAAAAACCCTCTGTCACAAACTCGTCGACGTGTTTTTACAAAACTTTCCACGAGTTTTCAAATCGGCATGGGTCCGATTCCCCATGTCACGAAATGCAAGTCATGGCAGACGAGTTCCAAAGCATAAAGGGCATCCCTGCCGTAATAGGAGCGATAGATGATACTCACGTTCAAATAAGGGGGAAAGAGGGACACAGGGCAGAGTATTATACCAGGAAATCACAATATGCGGTGCAACTACAGATTACATGCGACGCAAAAGGAACGATATGGGATTATCTCATTGGGTTCCCGGGGACCGCTCATGACCAGCGAGTGTTTGTCAAGTCCTACCTCTACGAACGACTAGAAAGGGGCGACATCGCCCCGTACCAGTTGGTTGGAGATGCCGCCTACCCTCTGAGGGACTACTGCCTAACGCCTTTGCACGCGCCGACCGGCCGCCTTATGCTAGAGTGGCAGCAAACGTTTAACTACTGCCAATCGGCCACACGCATGTCCGTCGAGCGCACTATCGGCCAATTCAAAGGCCGGTACAGACTGTTTGCGGGCAGACACGATTGCGATCTCTGGCGCGTCCTAGCCGGGGCTAGTTGTGTCGTCATCCTGCACAATATGGGGATAAAAATGGCAGGGGCGCGCATGAAGAACCCAAACCACAAGTGGGCAACGATTGCATTTAACCGCGACCCGTGGTGGACGCGCGGAGGGTTGGCGGACTACAACTGGAGTCCTTGCATAACCGGCGGACCGACGGAACTGAAGGAGAGGCGGAAATGACTTGGCGAGGCGTTGCACGAAGCTTACCTTAAGAGGTGTCGCCGCGACGCCACTCTTCCACGCCATCACTGAAGGTGGAGCCACCGGGTCCTGCGGTGTCGTGCGGCCAGTCGTCGTCATCAACGCGGCGGGCGGCAGAGTAGTGCAAGACGCGGCTGGTTTGCGACTGCTGCGTCGCCATCCATTCCCTAATCACTCCAGTGATTTGAGCGACGCCGGCTTCGGAGCACTCCTTTAGCGTGGAGGAGAGGAGTTGGGCGGCCGCCATAGTCGCCGTCTCGTTAATCCTGCGGCGAGCGCTTGGCGGAGTGCCACGCACTGCGAGAAGGGGACGTAGCAGGGGTGAATATGGGTTAGTATCGGAGCGTATGGTGCTAGTCTGTTGAAGGCCATGTACGGCATGTATTATGTATGCTTCGGCCCTTGCTTAATGGGACGAAGAGAAATAAAATTTGGTGACTCTTACTCGCTGTTGCAGTCGCATCTGCCTTGTTGGGCGTCGTTATCTTCACGGCAGGGTCAACGGTAACGTCGTCTGCACCACCACCGTCGAGCGCGTGTGGTTCTGCCGCCGCGGTGTCCTTGTAATATAACACCATCCATTCCCACCACGGCGGCTTGATCACCGTCCCCCCACCCGACGCGTTGTCTCCCTTGTCGATCTGCTTCCAAAGGGCCTTGAGCCTCTTCCACTGGTTTGTGCATGCGGCTTCATTATGACTCCAGTCGGGGTGTTGGAGCTTGATATGTTCGATGAGCTGCAGCCAGTACTGCGACCCTTGCTTCCCCGTCATTTGCTGGAGCTCGTCTTTAGTAAACCACCTTGCGGCAACAAGAATGGTTGACTCCTTGGGCGACCATTCCGGCCGCGCTCCCTTCTGCGGACTAAATGTCTTTCCGCCACGCGCTTTAGACGGAGTAGGAGCCTTGCCGGGGCGCTTATCCTTGCCGAGCGGGTTTGCGGTTGCCCGTGCAGTTGTCGTTGAAGAAGGGCCTTCGACCGGGCCGCTATACTCCACAGCTCCATGCCACGCTGCGACGGGATCGTCTCCGTCTGACGCGGCTTCGTCCTCCTCATCGTCCGTGTCCTTCTCGGGGTAAGTTTCGTCCGAATCATAACCATTAGAAACAGGCCCGCGATTGGGGCGATGCGTGGTATGAGAGTGCGCGGCATTCCTAGCGTGTGACTGCACATTGTGTAGTGGCTTCGTCGATGGTCGACCAACAGCTATCTCGGCGTTCATCCAGGCAACGTAAGCGAGGTCCTCTTGGCGCCAGTCGGGGTTCTCTGCGGCGTCACCATTTCCTTTGCGTTTCCGAGCCATGAGGTGGGAGTTCTAGGCGTTCTGGCAGATTAATGACGAGCAGGCTGGAATATATATTGCTTGGCGCGCAAGTGTTCTCCAGAACGGTGTATGTATGTTTGCGAGGAGAAGTTGTGGAATGTGATGTCGAATGTTGGTGGGTCGCCGTGTCAAACGTGTTGCCGCGTGGCGCCCAACCCCTATATGTTATCGTTTGTGCAAAATTGGCACGTGAGTCTTGCCAATAAATCGGCCAGGTCACCACCATGGACCGTTTGTGGAGTCGGCAGCATTGCACGATCTGCCGTTCGCGCGTCTTCTCAATCCGTGCAGAGATGAGCCAGCACGTTCGGGCGATAATTCGCGAGTGTTTTGATTCGTGCACGACTACGCTCGATGCCTGACAAGAGGTGTTTTAAAACGTGTGCAGCGTGATTTTGACAATGTGATAACAGGTTGGCCTGATAGGGGCCCGTAGGAACACGCTCTAATATTCGATACTGTGTGCCATACCCGATTGGTTGGCTTCACAACTCGAAGTTTGTTGGGGCGGACCAAACCAAACAACCACCCGAAAACCAAGGCAGGCTGAGAACTACACAGAGCTTCCATTTTTAGGCATGGAATGGAATGGTGCGATTCTGAAAGGAACCAAAATTGTAAGATAAGAGAGAAGTGTGGTTTGGAGTAGTCTCAATTGTGCCAGGTATCTCAACATTGAAATGCCCGAGACAACCCACAGACAAACTAAATGCACCCTATCTCTCAACCTTCTCAAATCCGGTTGTTGAATTGCAGATTTTCGGAGCGTGTGATTCGAACTGTTGCTAGTGCTTGTAGTTCCTCAGAAGGAACCAGATTTTTTTATTGTCCCTAAGTAGCCTGCCCAAACATACTAAATCCTAAAAAAAACACATCGAACCGTCCTAGACAAATTGTTATTATAATATGTTATAATATAATCTTTTACGGTGCACATTTCATGTCCCAACTTATCTTGCCTCCACTATTCTTCTGGACAAAAAAACTCATCTTATTTGCACTTCAAAATGGGAGATTGTTTGCAGCTTAACGAATGTGATGACCAGACTCAACAAAGGTTTTTAACCATGCCATCGCTAGAAATTTAATGATTGTTGACACGTAAAGCCGCTATGCTGGCTTATGTATTTTTGAACAATTCTACCTTTTAAAAAAACATTTGGCATGATTGGAATGAGGATAGTTTGAACACCTTCCATCCCAAAGCCAGCCCATATACATATACCCAGTTTCGCGGTATTGGAAAAGCATTGATGCAAGTGCTTGGATTTTCTTGGCTGGTTGAAGTAACTGAACCCTGGAAAGGTGGCATGCAAATGACCATCAAGCCATAACTGCAAGTATACAAAAAGAAACAATGGTCTATATAGGAAACATCGATATCAGGTACTTTTGAGTGCGGCAAAGTGTTGTATGCTGAGTGAAAGCACGTCTGGGTTCGTTGGTGTTCTACATAACTGTTTTCCACTTTATCCGAGTCCACTCTAGAGGGACACAGGGTGTACGTGCAATGCTGGGAGGTGTCCGCATGATTCAAGCCTCAAGTTTTGGATTCGTTCGGAGCACTCGAGGAACGAGCTGCCCTGAACATTCCGGAAGGTACACTTGTACTACACACGATGGGCTCGCTTGAGCTGGATTCCCTCCTTTTTCCCCCATCTCTCATTGCTTTAAAAAAAAATTCGCGCAGAGCCGCGGGTAACCAAGGGGCAGGAAATGCCATGACATTCAGTGGGCGAATACCAAAACACATGCATGGTCGAGTCGTACCGAGAGAACAGGACACAGATTGCGATTCACCTCACCACCACGCGAACAGTCAAGCAAGTGCGCACGGGCAGCTGAAGTCACTGTGGGGGCAGTTGGACCAAAGTCAAGCTTGATAGCTCCTCTTCCAATTGTGTCAACAGGCCAAAACTCTCTAGGAAACATCACCTACGCCCATGACGAGAGAAAGTACACTGACCATATGAACCAAGCAAGCAGCTCGAATTTCTGTACATAATCGAGGGCTTACTCGGTGTAGGAAAACCTCCTCCCAAGTCCCCAAACCCCTTCACCAGCCTCAAGCTGCCGTTCAACAAGTTCCACAGCCCTTGGTTGGATCCGAATCGTTTTTCCCGAACACCACAGCTGACTGCGGACTTTCTTTCCACTCCCCCCTTTTGTCTTCCCTGTTGATCTCTTCCTCGTCCACTCCCCCTTTCTTTCCACGGCCACAATCACTACAATCAAGCCGCAAGCAGCCTCACCCACACGCTTGCTTCCTGCCCGTTCAGACAGTCACACACGAGAGCCTCGTTTCCTCTTGGAAAGCAGTTAGAAGATGCAAACCCTGGGGTTTTGTGATTGATGGGCGATTCGTTTGAAGCGTGCCATGCCAAGACGACCCTGTGTTTCCGGGATGTAAAACCCGGAACCCTGCCTGAAGATTGTTTTTGTTCTTGTCCGAGCTGGCTTGCCAGACCCATCAACTGACTGTCTGCTCATCGCAGCCTGAAGACCCCAGCGGAATTCGGTCGACGCAGCCGAATTGCTAGGGTCGACGAGGGGGGTCGACAGACGGGGGTCTGACGAGGCGGGGAACTGACGCGCGTGCGGGCCCGCCAGCCTGGCCCAGGGCTGGGCCGAGCGCACGACCGCCGCCCCGCAACCCCCCCCCCCCAATGTGAACAGCGACCCACGTTACCGGGTGGGGTCGGCGAACTGGCGACAGCTCGCGCGTGGGAAAATTACCCTCGCGCGAAGGCAGCCCAGCCGTGCCACCTGCCCGCGTGGTCCTAGTAACCCATCGCGGCCTGCCCGGACGGGCAGGCGAGGGCCTGGCGAAAATTCGGGGGCCCCTCGGGACACTCGACAATTTCGCGACCCGTTGCGGTGACGCCACGTGTTCGCTCGTGGTTTCGCATCGGGCGCATGCCATATTTCGGACGTTGTGAAATCGATGTCGATCGCTTCGCGGCGCACGCTTTTCGCGATCCGCTGCGAAATCGACACGTGGCGGCTAAACGATGCACCGCGATTATGCGAATTTGCGTCCCTTGGCGGACCGAGGCCAGGGGACGTGACATCGACTTGCTGGCTCGGCGGCGAATGAGAACCTGTGCCACTTGTGTACGAGCCCGCCATACCCTGCCGAGCCAGGCCCCACGAGGGCCGGGCGATGCCTCGACCGGCCCGTGGGGCACCGACCCCCTTTTTCTTGGTGGAAGGGGGCATCGCTCCTCATTTTCGCTTTCTCCTTTCACTTTCCACCGTTTTTTCCCAGCTCTGCGCCTTCTCCCACATTCACGTCCCTTAGCCGGTAGCCGCTTCCCTTCCCCGCCATGGCGGCCGACCCGAAAGTCGGCGAAGTGACGCCGACTTCGCAGGACTTCCCGCTGTATCTCGACCTGGGTAGAGGGCTCACTTCCAAGTTCGACGAGCACGACTACGCCGTCCTCGTAGACAATAGGCTCGAGTTCAACGCCCGTTGCTTGGGATTCGGCCTCAAGTGAGTCGCCGTACATTTAGGTCGGCGTCGATCTATGCTGTCCTAGCTGGTCGACGCTGCGGTTGTCCCACATCTATGGCGGCGCCACGAGGTTAGGGTTTAGGTCACCGTGGCGCCGACTTTACGATTACTGATTACGCGTAACACCTATTTCACAGATGGGTCGGTGTTGTTCACAGGGTTTCACCCCTCACGCCTTCTAATACCCATGTCGGCTTGCAGGCACGCATGGGCTCGCTCGACGAAGATGCGATTGTGGTCGATAGGACTCGGTCGGCTTCGGGCGGCGATGGGTCAGGAGGACCACATGTGCTTTGCGACGGTTTTCGACGCCGACGTAGCGATCATCCCCCTGCATTCCAGGTGCGATGGTCGACGACGTACAGCTGTGACGTACATGCTATGTCGTGCTGAACGACGCCGTCGTGCGTTGCCTGTGCAGCATCGCACCGCTTCCAGGAGCACAATGCAGTGTTATCGTCGTCATTCATCCCGGCGACTTGTTGAGGGCGGGGGGGGAGAAGATCAGGACGTCTATCCGCCACCTGGACCCGCAGACCGTGAAGCAGTGGCACCGCGACGAGGCAATCCGCGTGCTGAAGTGAGCTCGATAGCCTAGTCGTCGACGCATGCCATTTCTCCGCGCAGCTTAAACCATGCTTACCGACCATCTCCGGCATTGTTGTTTCAGGTTTTTCCGGGCGGCGGTACTGGCCGAGCTGGGCCGCGACGGTAGGACGTGGGAGTGGCCGAAGCCCTCTGATCAAGAGGTCGGGCACAGGCTCGCCGACTGTGACGAACCCCTTCGAGATGTGAGTTCCGAACGAGTCAACGTCCTATTGTGTGTCATCAAAGCTCGATGCTCATCCTTGCGCTCTGAACCGTTGAATGCAGAAAGTGCCCGACGTCGTCCAGGACGGGAGCCCGGGCTCCGGCACGCTAGCAATGAGCGGGTTGATCTGGGTGGTGAGGAGGATGGATCTCCTGACCGGCAAGTACCGTCGCAGTGCTACCATCATGGACAAGGTCAACGTTTCGGGGTTGAAGGCGCTGCGGGGTGCGATGGTAACATTCATCAAGGAGCACGTCGCTCTGAAACGGTCGGGCCGTGTCGGACTTGCTCACGACGCCTGTGACGACGACGGCGAGGAGCCCCCTTCGGCATCCCAAGCAGTCGGTGTCGCGGACACCCGCGGAGAGGCCACAGGCGGCGTCGACGACGCAGATGGGGAGGCAGGAAGGGCGGTGTCGCGGACCGGGGATCAGGAAGAGGAAGAGGAAGAGGAGGAGGAGGAGGAGGAGGAGGAGGAGGAGGCGTCCACCGATGATCGGGATGATAACGAGGAGGAGCGTGAGGAGCGTGAGCAGGGGCAGGAGGAGGGCGAGGAGGAGGAGGAGGTGGAGGGGGCGGCGGAGGCCGTGGAGCAGGCGGTGGAGCAGGTGGTGGAGGAGGAGAAGCAGCAAGAGGGGGACGCCGAGGTGGTGTTCCCCTGGGTCGACTTCGAGATGGCCGTGGAGGGAGCGGCGGCGATGGACGTGGAGGGAGCGGTGGCGATGGGCGTGGAGGGAGCGGCGGCGATGGCCGTGGAGGGAACTGGTAGATGGTCGGCGGATGTTGTGTGCGAGGGAGTGGAGGGTGCCGATGTGGAGAGAGGAGACGTGGTCGGCAATGTGGACGGGGACGCGACAGAGGAGGATAACGCCGCGGCCCCGATGCAGACGGGCGTGGAGCCCACCGCAGGGAACGCCGGGGTGGAACGCCGAGGTGGAGCGGTAGAGGCGGGCAGCCAACCCGGTTCCCCAGCAGCCGGTCGGCAGGCACCGCCGGCCGACGTCGCGCAGCTGCGACAGGAGAACATGTGGTTGAGGGCTGAAAATGCTCGACTGCAGACGGAGCTCGGAGTGGAGAGGGGTCGGGTGGACAGGTTTGCGATGGGGATAGGCAGCCTCGTGGACAAGCTCAGGTCGTTGGCCGACCAGGTCGCCGCCTCCGACAACGACGCGGCGAGTCGGCTGAGGGGCGCGTCCTTGACCATGGCGAAGACCGTCACCGAGAACATCACCGCTAGCATGGGTGAAGCATGGAATGCGATGAAGGCGTACGCCGAGAGGGCGGAGGCCTGGGTGGACGATCTCGACAATCCGGAGGGGTTTTTGGCAGTGGAACGTACGAAGGCGGTACTCACGTTGGTCGACCAGGTGGAAAAGGTGGTGGGCGACGCGAGGAAGGGGTTGGAGGAACATATATCGAAGAACCTAGTCGCCGCGCAGATCAACATCGCCGCCGCGGTAACTCAACGCGTCGCCGTACCGCCGCCAACGCCGCCCGCCCCACCGCCAGCCTTCCCGGACGAGCTTATGAAGTCGTTCAAGGCGGACGTGTTGAAGGCGGTGACTGAGGCCACCCAGCAGTCGTTTGTTGCGTCCGGGTTAAACCTCATGACCGAGGTGATCGGCAATTTGGCGCCTGGTCGGCGTGGTTCGTCGCCGTCGGCCAACGAGGCCGACAAGAAGGGCGCGAAGAGGGCGGGCGACGGAGATGATGCGTTGAGCTCGAAGCGGAGCAAGGGAGCCGATGGGAGCCGCGGCGTCGGCCAGGTGGGTCCTGGCGGCACTGGGAGCAAGGGAGCCGATGGGAGCGGGGGTACTAGCGTGGTCGACCAGCTCAAGAAGAACGGGGCCAGGGTGATAAGGACGCACAGCAAGGGCGATGGAATCAGGAGTGCGGAGGGGGGCCCTGCCGACCAGGTTGCCGCTCAAGAGGCTGGACCAACAGCTTCGCCATTGGTGGCCGAGAAGCCCCCCAGTCTAGCAACCGCACCAACGGCGATAGATGGCGGCGCCGAAACCAGGAAGGGGCCGTCTGGGGGGGTGACGGGGACCACGTCGATTCCCCGCAAACCCCCTGCGGCTAGCAGCGCGCCGGTCGCCCCGTCAGCCGCCAAGGACGATGGGCCGTCCCTTGCGGCTACTCCAGCACCAGCAGGCCCGTCTGCCGCCAAGGATGATGCGGCTAACCGCCCTGGTCCGTCCGCCCCAAAGGCGAACGCGCTCATGGAAATGCTCCGCCGCATGGAGATCCATCGCCCGGGCGTGCAGCCGACTCCCGTGGTCGGTGCCGCTCCGTCCAAACCGGAACGTCGCTCGGTCGCTCCGCAGGTCGGCGCCACAACGTCCAGTGCCCCACCTACCGCGCCTGACATCGCCGGCCGTCCTCCTGTGGACCCCAAGTCCGCCCTGCTTCGCGCCCGGTTAGGCGCACGTACTGCGGCAGCGCCAGCACGGGCTCGGACAGAAGCCGGCTCAAGCGCGACGCCGACGTCGGTAACCGTAGCTGCACCCTCACTCGGTGCAGCTACTGTCGAGGAGGTGGCGGAGAAGGGCGTGAGTGCAGCGCTAGCCACGGGCGGTCGATCCGTCGACCCTGGACAGGCGGCGAAAGGCTAGCGCGACGCCGACATCGATGCCATCCAGGACCTGTTGGAAGCGGTAAACCGCCCCGGGCAGCCCCCTGTTCTGGCCATCTCGGACTCGGCGCATGTGGAGCACTCGGCGAGTCCCCCGGTAGAACAGCGGAGCTAAAGACGACCACTGCAGCTGTGGTGGTCACCAAGTCGAAACAGAAGGGGACGGCCGACACAGGGAAAGGGAGGCCGAGCTCGCAGAGGACAACACGGGGGAAGTCGGTGGAGAAAGGGAAGGAGAAGGCGAAGGAGAAGGAGAAGGAGAAGGAGAAGGCGGAGGCGAAGGAGGAGGAGAAGGCGAAGGAGGAGGAGAAGGCGAAGGAGAAGGAGAAGGCGAAGGAGAAGGAGAAGGCGAAGGAGGAGGAGAAGGCGAAGGAGAAGGAGGAGGAGGAGGAGGAGGATGAGGAGGAGGAGGAAGAGGAGGTGGAGGAGGCGGCGGAGGAGGAGGGCGAGCATGATGCTAAGGAGGAGGAGAAGGTGAAGGTGAAGGAGAAGGGACGGAAGGGACATGGCATCCGCCACGACAACTCGGGCGACAAGCAAGGGTGGGTGGGCGAGATTAAGGTGGCCGGGAACGAGAGTAGATACATCGGCAAGTCGCGCGACAAGATGGAGCTGGCGTACCTCCACTCGATTGTGTACCTCCTTTACGACGGTTACGTCAGCAAGATTCTCATGGACGAGCTCACCGGCTTGACGGAAACCACGAAGAAGCAGTGGAGGGCGGTGTGGGAGGAGGTCAGGTTCTTGCTGACCGGGATGTGGACGGTGATATGGGCAAGGGGTGCTTTCCTCCCAAAGACTCGGTAAGTCGGATACCACTTCCGTCAAGTGATGATGTCGACATCGGGGTCCCTAATGATCGTCCAGTTTCGTGTGTTCGCGTAACAGGTTCGATGACATTCTCGGCAAGTATCGAGCGTACAAGACATCAGGCGATGAGCACCACGCCGCGCTCTTGCCGGCGATCTGGTTCCCGGTCGATGCCGACTCGAAGGAAGGGAAGGCGAAGTCGGATGCAATGATGTCGGCCATGATTGATCGCGTGTCCTTGTGCGCTGCGTATGGGAAAGTCGCTGCTGCCGCGGCGAGGAAGGAGGGCGAAACGGATGAGACGACGGTGTTGGTGGCACAGGCGCTATCGGCCTCCGCTTGCGCCCTGTGGTGCTTAGTCGAGGGCGACGCCGCCCAGGTGGCCGATGCTGTGCGCGAAGGGAAGGCGGCGGCGATGGTGGTCGGTGCGAGCGGGAAGACCGGTGATGAGTTCATGAAGGTCATGAAGGCGGTGCTGGAGGCCGCGAAGAGCAGGGAGCAACCCCTCGGGGAGGTTGCGTACAACGTCGCAACGGCGCTGGAGTCTACAGCTCTGGCGAGAGCCTATCCGGGGTTGGATGGAGAAGTCGAAGCCCAAGTGATCGCACGAGCGACGGTGGAAACCATGGCGTTCTGGGGAATGTGCCCCAAGGATGGGCCGAAACTCAAGAAGATCGGCATCGCGGTGCCGCTTGACGCGCAGATGGCGAAGCTTATCGAACACAGGGGGAGGAAGGGCCAGAGGGGCAAGCAGGGCAAGGACATCTCGGGGAAGAAGGGCCAGAAGGGGAAGCAGGGCAAAGACAGCACGGCGGCTTAGTCGGCATTGCATTCTGGTCGCCTGGGGTGGCCTGGTATGGGCGGCGTCGATCATGGAGTTCTCGTTGTGATTGCTCTTCGTAGGTGATTGCGTGATGTGTGGCTGTAACTTTTTGGTAGTGCATGTTTTGTGGCTGTAACTTTTTGGTAGTGCATGTTTAGTGGCTGTAACTTTTTTTGTAGTGCATGTTACTAGAACACCCCTACTAAGACACTGCGCTGAACCTCGTCGGCGTATGATACGTCGGCGTCGTATGGTGTCGACCTTGTGCGTCTGTCTGTATGCAGGTAGATACTCGGCGATATCCTCGTCGGCACTTTGGGTATTGAGCCCTGTTTGTAGGTCGGCATCGATATCGTTTTGTGTGTTTCGGCTGTCGGAGCCCTTACATGCTCTTTGTGTGGGTTTCATTGTGTGCGTGCCTGTCGACTTTACGAAGGATGTGTAATGAACAGTTCAAACATTACCTTGTTGACTATGCGTTGGATGTGATGTCTACTTCAAGTAGAACGATAGGATCATTGTGAGAACCACAAAGTCGACAACTGTATCAGTACGACACACATGCATGCTGCAACAAGAACATCTACAACATGCAACAGCCAACAGTCGCACGTTGCTTGTGAGCATTCACGCGGTCTTCTTGCGCTTGGTCGACTTCTTGGTCGGAGGCCGTTGGCCGGCGTCGTTTTCGCGGGCCAGGTCGGCCAACGCCTTCTTCATCTGCTCCTTCCATGTGTCCGGGAACAGGTCGGCGACCCACGTTTCCGGCTTCAACCCGCGCGCCACGAGCGCACAGGCGAGACGAAGCTTGGCAAATTCCGTCTTGCCGAGCCCCTTGACGCCCTTACCCTGCCCGGCATAGGTCGGTTTGTTGCCCGCGTTGAGCACCGTGAGGGCATCCGAGAAGGTCCCGATGCCCGGCGCCGCTATCGTGTTAAGCGCGTCGACGACGGCTTCCGTGTCGGCTTCGCCGTCGCTCCTGCGAAGCTGGCGCACGGCATCGATGACCTTCATCATGCGGCGCACCCTCGTCCCGTGTGCTCCCTGCGAGGCTCCGTCGAGGAGGGTGTGGCGGTCGACGAATCCCGGCTCGAAGAACCTGTCGCACAGACGCCACGCGGGGTCCATAGGCGCCACGCGTCCCTCACGGTCGTTGCATTCCGCCAAGGCTGCACCATGTTCAGCTCGTAGCTAGCCTCCTCGACCGTCTGTGGGGGTTTTTTGGGTTTCTTGGCTCCGTCACCCCTGCTTGCCGACTCCGCGGAGCCACCGTCGCTAGGCGACTGATCGTTCGCTGCTGGCGGCGCCTCCGGCATCCTACGAGCTTCTGAAACGCGGAGAGCCTCGGTGAGGCGGGTTATCTCGTCCGTCATCGACGCGATGGTAGCGTCGCGCTGCTCGAGCTTCTCCTCGAGGTCGATCTTCTCGACCGCTGACCGCTCCCTCTCGAGCTTCAGCGTCGTTGTGAGGGAGACGACCGCGTACTGGGCGTCATGGCGGACCGATATCTCCTGCATCGGTAGGCGAATAACGGTGCAGGTGAGGGGTTGTATCGGGCACTGTGCTCATGGCGACGTCGACATAAAGGAATACCCACCTCTGGCTGGATGAGGGTTGGGTCTTGCCGCTTTTTGATGGTCTCGGTGTCGGTCTTCTCCACCCTCTTCGCCCAGTGCTGGAAGAGGGGAATCCGGCAGAGCTTGGAATACTGGACGTACGGGTGCCAAGGCGTGCGGACGAGTTTCACAGCGAGGTCCTCGGCGACAATGCGGCGGAACATCAGGAGGGTGCGCCAGAAATGCACGGCCGCAGTGTCGGCGTCGGACCCCTTCTTCGCGAGTTCTTCCGCCTGCAAGCAGACAACAGACGTGGGTAATTAACGTGGTGGATAGGACAGTGCCATGAGAGGCTTGGTTGGCACCGATTAACATACATCCTTAAGGAGGTCGTCCACGCCGGGGAAGATGTGCTCGGCGATGAGTGCGAGGAGTTCGTCCCCCGGTTCCACCCTGCTGCGTCCCAAGAAGTAGTCCTGCGTGTATCCCGAGTAGCCGGCCTTCTTCATCACCACGCCGACGGGAATGGCTGTGATGTAGGCTCGAGTCATCTTGTCGAGAGCCCAGTGACCCAGCTCGGCTATCTCGGCGCGAGGCGTACCGTTGATGGCCAGCTCCTGCGCCCCGCCTGCCCGAGCGGCATGGACGTTCCGCTTGCAGAACACCCCGTTCGTCTTCCACATCTGCCTCGTCCATCGCTGGTGGCTGGCAGCGGAGAGTTCGCCCTGCTCGGGGTCGTTGCGGGCGAAGAACAGGTGCTTCTTGTACCAGCGCTCGCGTGTGCTGGTGTCGACCGGCGGAATGAGGTCGACGCCGTGAAACTGGCCGATCTGGTCGAGGATGAAGTGTAGCCACAGTCCGGTCTCGCCGACGGCGCACAATTCCGCTTCGAGGTGCCGCGCGGCGTAGCTCTGCTGCAGACGCGCATCCTTCGACGTCTTCGAGTTCCGCGCGGCGACCACCATGACGACCGGCTGGTTATCCGGGTTCACCGACGAGGTGCTCGCCAGTCGGTACAAGAAGATGTCGGGGAGCGTGATCTCGCGGATGCTTGCACCGCGCATGAGGCTGTGGTGGGAGAGCAGCGTGAGCACCTTGACGAGAAGAAACCTCCACAGCGTCTGCGAAGGAGTGGTGAAATGCGGGCTCCATGCCGACGCCGCCCAAGCCGGCAGCACCCTCGTCATGATCTGGCGGAACTGTTCGGCGGTGTATGTGTCGCCGATGGTGCCGCGTCGACGGTCGGCGCAATTACTGTCGACAGAACAATATAGGCGGTAGGATTATTAGGGCGATGGGCACAAACCGACTTACTAGGAAACGGCGCTAAATGCCAACTTACTTGATGTCCCTCTGGTTTTTGGTGCGGACCATGACCCGCACCTCCGACCGGACAACCGAGATTTCCCGCATGATGCCCAACTCCTTCTCCTTGTAGAGCGTCGCCTCCACCGTCGCCGCCACCGTCGCCGCCATCTGGCAGGCCTTGAGGCGGCCGAGTATCATGTGCACCGTGTAGGACGGCACCGGCGCGTTCGTCTCGGCGTCGATCTTGAACTCCCGCCTCATGAACTTGACGTAGGCGCGCAGCCGCGTCACAGTGACCTTGGGGCCGTGCAGCCAGATGTGCTTCCGTTTGACGACGTTCGGGTTGTCCCAATCCTTGCTCTTGTTGCAGTGGATCCAGTGCCCGATCTCGTCGACGTGCCTAGTTCGTTCCCCGATCGGCAGCTTGTCGCCTATCTCTTTGAGCATCTTCGCGGCCCACCTCTTGTAGTGGTAGATCCATGAGATGTAGGACTGGAGCGTGCTCTTAGCCTCGATGGTTTTCAGGTGGCGCAATGCCTCCATCACGAGCACGTCGACGCACGCGTACACCATATCTTCCTCTACGAAGTCGGCCGCCTTCCACTGTTCTCGAGGGACAGAGGTGTTCAGCAGATCCTCAAGCTCGTCCTCGTCCAGAAGTTCCTCGATGAACGCACGTTCCCCCCTGAGCTTTTCTTCCAACGTGCGCGGACCTGGGCCACGTCGGGATCGCGGGTCGTCTTCGTCGTCCTCGTCGCTGGACGATGAATCGTCTTCGATTCCCTCATCCTGCTCGCCCGATCCGTCCGGCACCGACGACGGTCCGGCCTCCCCTGCATTCGTCGGTGCCGACGTTTTGCGTGGTTTCGTGAACACCCCTATGGGCGCGGGCGGAATGCCTTTGGTGAACTCTCCCTGCGGAATTTTGGGCCAGTGCGTCGAGATCGTAAAGTAGGGGCAGCGTCGACGAGGGGTTACTGGTCGGTGCACGGTCTACCGGGCGGACATCCTCACCCTGGCTAGCGGGAGTCGGAACGTCCGTCATGTCGACGTCGGCGGGTGGTGGGTGTGATTGCGGCGGTGTCGATCGAGGATGTGCTCCGGCCATGATACGGCGACCTAGGGTCTGGCGATGGGAAGTCGGTGTGGTGAGGTCGATGAACTACAACATGCAGTCTCGAAGTCGGCGGTATCAGACAGGTCGGCACCGCAGACAACACTACGACACGGCGGCCACGACGTCTGACTATTCTGACGACGCCGACGTTCCACGTCTGCCGAAGATCTGCCGAACAAAAAAACTAAGGGCGAGCCGTGAAGGGAACGGGGGAAACAATCTAAGTGCCAGCTAACGGATGAAACGCACACAGAATGGCAGGCAGAATGAGCGACCTTCACTGGGACCCTTGATTGGTATGGTCGTGAGCGACTCCGCTCCACTTGGCGCTCCACGCAAACCCCTGTGCAGGACGCAGCTATGCAGGTACTCTCGTGCGGCGGCGCCGTGACCGACGTGCCACCGGGCGTGCATGGCTGCTTGCTTGAAGCGCTTCGCTCATGATGCGCCTTTCATGGGTGTTACACGCTGGCTCTTTCGTGCGGTACGTGGCGTGGTCCCTGCGCGGTAGTTCGAGGGCGGGAGACACTGCCGCGTGGCACCACGATGAAGACCTTCTGGTCGACGCCGACATTCCCGCCAGTATCCACTGCACCTAGCCAGAGGTAGTGGACGGTCGGATTTCGCCTTGGGCATGTGGGCAACCGTTGGATGATGGCCGTGTGGTACGCACCGACCTGGCAACGCTTGGGCGCGAAGTTTTCCCACGCGAAGCACCCCCACCTTCCGTTGGCCCGTCGTGGCCACCCTGGCTGTCCACGATGGCCCCGCCATCCAGGGGTCGATCTCGGACGTCCCTTTTTGGCCGCGTGGCGATCATCGCGGCCCGATGTGCCGAGCTGGGATGACGTCACGCGGCTGAGACGTCCTTGTCGGGATTGTCTCAGCGGAACCCAAGGTCGACAGGTCGTCGACAATCCCGAGGGGTCACCAGCACTGGGCCCAGCCAGCTCGCCTGGGCTTTCCACGCGGTGGTCGTCGTGGGGTCGACAACCCCGAGGAGGGGGGTTGTCCGTTCTGGCCCGCGAAAATGGGCGGCATTTTTCGTCCGCTGAGCTCTATTATGCTGGAGATTTCACCGCGAGCTGGGGAATTCGAGATGCTAGTGAAAGCTGTCAAAAGGGGGACTTCCAGAACGAGTGAAGCAGATTGAATCAACACAAATGCCACCCAGCAGCATCCCACAGGTGGCCGATGGGGTGAAACCGAGTGAGCAGAAGGGAACGAATCCCGCTTTGGATTCTCTATTTCACGGGCAGTCCCACAATCGCCGTGTGAATCTGGTTCGAAATGCAGGATTGGGCTAAACGCCGCTCAGCACCACCTTCTCTCTGTTGAGAAACAACCCTACGGCGGGCTGGCACGGGCTGGCACAGCCAGGCTTCTGGGATCGCCTGTCGGTGCCTGCATCGTTCCTACCACGACTGCATCATTGCCAGTCTGCACAGAGCTAGATGCACAGTTCATGAGTTTGCACGACGCGTTGGCCAGCTCGAGAATATCAGGAGCAAGATAGGCATGGTGCATGATGATATGTCATCTCGAACTGGAACGAAACTGGGACAGAAGGGATGTACTGTATCTTATTCATCTGGATAAGCGGGAAATGGGGAGGGCGAGTGATGTGCTTTTCTCACACGTTGCACTACGGTATACATCGCAGGCACAGAAAAAGCAGATGAGATTGGCCGAAGCCCACCGCCATGCAAGGTCACAAGTCATCTCGTCCTGCTCGCGGTTTTTCCTTGCATTTCGCCACCTTCCATTTCTGACATCTGCGGTGAGGCGAGCGAGGCGAACGATCCGTGGACGTGCCACGTGGGAGTGGGAGTTTTTTTCTAAGTATCGCGGAGGAACCGTCCCCAAGTGAAGTAGACCGTTTGCATCGGTCATAGCACGCAGCGCATCGTCAAGCAGAGTCTCCGTCAGCCTGAAAATGCATTTTCGGAATGAAGAGAAGCCGCAGTTACGACTTTCGATCACGAGTTAATGTCGCGTGCGGAGCGGAACCGCTGTTCGGGAGACTCTTAGACCAGCTTAGAACAAGCGATTCGAGCCCTTGAGGGGTGATATACAGAGTAGTGACCGTGATACTATCGAGCTGCTATACTATCGAAATGGAGATGCTCGACATGATGTCGTACAAGCGGTTGCGCCCCGACCTCCTTCCGCCGCCGCCGCCGCCGCCCTTGCACGACCCTCGCGCCGCTCTGATATCGCCACCGCCGCTTCCGCCGGCGCCGCCGCATCTGCAAGAAAAGCCCGACGCGCGCGCCGCGCAGCACGCAGCAGCACGCAATCATGGGCCAATAGCAGCAGGAGGCGCTCCTGCCGTTTCGCATTCCTCGACGTCTCAGAATCACTTGCTGTGCCCGCTTCCCCCGCGATTACCCTCCGCATCCCGCGCGTTCCGCGGCCCCTCTCTCACCCCTCCCGCGCAATCCCCCGCTCACTCCTCCGCTTACGCGCCCCCCCCGCAATCCCCCGCTCATTCCTCCGCGCAGGGCCCCTCGCACACTTTTGCGCAACCGCCCTCCCCCGCCAATGATTTTTCTATTGGGGGAATCGGAAACGCCCCTTTACTGTTCGCGCAAGGCCTCTGCGCTCCGCTCCCCCCATCATTCCCGCGCTCCCCTGCGACCGCCGGTGCGGCGGGTCTCGCGGGCCGCTCGCGCCATCTGCAGCGCGCAAACACGGCGGGTTCGTCGATTCGCGGAAGCGCCTCTCGCGGCGGCGGCGGTGGGTCTACGCCGGGCCACCTCAGCCCGTCCGCATCTCCCATTATCAACGGAACTTCAGCCGCGATTTCCGGGATGCCTGCCGGGAATTTTGGCGGTTTCAGCGCGTTCGACTCCCCCTCCAACAGCCCACTCGCGGCGGATTCCGCCGTTTCCGCCGCTTCCGCGCCCCGCCGATGCTCCACCGTCGGGGCGGAGAGGGAGAGACCGCAGATGCTCGTGCGTGATTGGTCCGCCGATAGAAATAGCATCCGCGCTAACATCATGTTCCCCGCAGACTATCCGCCAGAGCTGTTACATCCGCCACACCCCCCTCCGCCAGAGATCTTCGCGCAAGCACGAGGAGAGGATTCCGCCGCCGACGCCGCGGCGAATCGACTTACGCGCAACGCATCTGCTCCTGCCGCCTCCGCGCCTGACCCCTCCGCTCCGCGCGGCTCCGCGTCTCCTCCGGGTTCCGTTTCCGCTTCCGGCGGCGTCTTTGGCGGCGCCGCCTCGTCCTTCTGCCGCACCGCGCCCTGCCGCAACGGCGCCCAGACCTCCGAAGTTTGCGGCAATCAGATGGAAACGGGTAGCAGGTTTGCGGGCTTGAAGCGGCCGTCAGATCTGACGGCGACAGTTATTTCTCCTTCACGAGGCCTCGGGAAACCCCCAGCAACGGGAGCCGCGCAGGCTTCTCTTCACGCAACTTCTGCTCCTATCGATACAAGAACAGTCGCCGAGGCTGGAGATTGGAGCGGAAGTCAGGGAATGGAGGGACGAGCAGGAGGAAATATACCGAACTGCTCGTTACATGGGCATAGCTATTGCTCTAATAATGGTGGCGGAGGAAACGGGGCGGATCGTGATTGGATGCGGTCGGAACAGGTTCGCGACGGGTTGGCGGGTGTCAGTAACGGAAAAGTATTGGCTTTACGCGGTGGTGATAAAAGCGCGGGCGAAGTGGAAGAAATGCCCGCGTTATTAGAACAAGCGGATGTGGATTTAGCGAGTCTGGTGAATGGGTTGGAGGAGGGCCATTCGAAAGGTGTTCTTGTAACGGACGGGACAATGGTGGATGTTCACCACTGCGAAGATGTGACTAAAACGGGAGATTTTTGCAGTCCCGTTACAGGAGGGGAGAAGAGAGCTGCGGATGGGGCTTGTAACGAAAGGATGGACGATGCAGTAGAGCCGGACGAGCTGGATACATTTGATCTGACGCAAATGGAGGGTCTAGATCTGCCGATTGTCCTGTCGGAGGAGAATCTGGACGAGATTTCGGGAATTTCGTCCGCAGATTTTCTCCCAGATCTTCCGGAAGATTTGTTCGCAGATCTCCCGTTAGACGCGCCCTTCGATGTAGTCACACTGTGAAGACTCGTCAGATCGTGCAGTTAGGGAGGCTGTAACAGATACTTCTGCAAGTAACGTTGACCCAGCTTCTGCTGTCAGTTTCCCTGCTTCCTCACCACCTCCCCCCACCACACCCCCAAACCCCCCATTGATCCCCGCTTCCTCCCCCTCAACCTCCCCCAGTCCGCTCCTCAAGCTTCCCCCATTGCACCCCCCCCTGCCACTGCTCCGCACTCCTTCCCTTACTGGGGATGGGAGAGGGGGGGATAGAGGAGAGGCGGTTGAGGAGGGAGGAGCGGTGATGTGCGAAAGAGGAGAAGCAGCAACGACAGCACCACCACCAGCAGCACCAGCAGCAGGCTTAGTTGGGGGAAAGAGGGGCGCAGCAGGTGTCAACCAGCAAATGGCAGCAGCAGTGGCGCTGAATCGGCTGCTGCAGCAGAGGCAGATGCTCAGTAACCCAAGCAACCCCAAGCAGCAGTTGCTACTCAGAGCCCTCACTGCTGCTGCCACCACAGACTCGGGTGTTCCGCCCGCTGCTCTTGTCTCGGTCATCGCAGCCTCGGCAGCAGCTTCGGGCGCTGCCTCGGCGGCAGCTTTGCCGGCAGGTTCAGAGGGAGGTTTGGGTGCAGGTTTGGCTGCTGGTGAAGCTTCTTGTGTGGGATTGACAGGGGGGCAACAACTGCAGCAGGGACAGGAGAGTCAGCAGCAGCAGATGGCGGTTTCTCTGGGCCTGTTGCAACAACTGCAGGCACAAATGCAGGCACAAGCACGAATCAAGGCACAGGTACACGCCCAGGTGCATGCACAGGCACAGGCACAGGCACCCACACTTCAACAGCAACAGCAACAGCAACAGCAACAGCAGCAGCAACAACAGCAGCAGCAGCAACAACAGCAGCAGCAGCAGCAGCAGCAGCAGCAGCAGCAGCAGCAACTGCAGCAGCAGCAGCAGCAGCAGCACGGCAACAGCAGCAGCAGCAACAGCTACAGGTGAAGCTCCCATTTGGAGGGTTTGCAGGGCTCTGTACGTCTACTGCTGCTACTGCTCCTGCTACTTCTCCTGCTTCTTCTGCTGCTTCCGCTCCTGCTACTCCTGCTTCTAATAGTGTTAACACTGCCAAGAATGCTGGTGTGGTAAACACTTCTATCAACGGCGCCAATGCTCCCATTCCGCCTCAAATCAAGGCCAATGCAGCTCAGGTGTTTGCTCAGGTAGCCCAGGCGGTGCTTCAGGCGTCTCAGGTGCACGGTCAGGTGCCTCAGGTGTCAAGTCTGCCTGAGGGATCTCCTGGCAAGTCGGGCATGGAAATCAACACAGCACTGCTTGCCTCTCTGCTTGTCAATGCTTCCTCCTCGCCCTCGTTTGCCGCTGCCGCTGCTGCTCCTGCAGCTACAGCTATTGCTCCAGTTCCAGGTGCTTCTGGTGCAGGTGCTTCTGGTGCAGGTGCTTCTGGTGCAGGTGCTTCTGGTGCAGGTGCTTCTGGTGCAGGTGCTTCTGGTGCAGGTGCTTCTGGTGCAGGTGCTTCTGGGGCCGCAGTGAGTGTAGCAAGGGCTCTTCAACAGAGGGGAGCAGCGCTGCTGCTGCAGCAATTGTTGAGGCAGGGGCAGCACGGGCAGGGGCAGGGACAGGGACAGCAGGGGCAGCAGATGCAACAGTTGTATCAGGCGCTGCAGCAGCAATGGCAGCAGCAGCAAAGGAAGCAGCAAGGACAGCTACAGGAAGGGCAGCTACAGCAAGGGCAGTTGCAGCAAGGGCAGCTACAGCAAGGGCAGCTGCAGCAAGGGCAGCTGCAGCAAGGGCAGCTACAGCAAGCGCAGCAGCAAGGGCAGCAGCAAGGGCAGCTACAGCAAGGGCAGCAGCAAGGGCAGTTGCAGATGCAAGGGAAATCGCAATATCCTAAACCACCAATTCGCTCTGCTGCGGGATTAGGACATGTGGCAGCTATGGTAGCATCTGGACCGTCCATCTCACGTGTGAAGGATGAAGGAGATGCTGTGATGGAGGAAGCAGGGGAATGGGGACGGTTGGGAGGGCTTGAGGATGTGGTAATGAGTGCTTCTGTAAAGAGTATAGCTAGGACTATGAGCACAAGCACTTGTGTCAGTGTGAACGGTGAAGGCGTTTTACAGCAGCAGCAGCAGCAACGACAGCACCAGCATGGTGACAGTTACAGTGGGCATGTACACATGGCAAGTGGTGATTCGTCCGAAGAGAGAGGAATTTGCTCAAGCCAGGCGAGTGAAAGGAGGGCCAGGAGTGCAGAAGAAGGAAGTGTTTATCGCGGGGCGGTGAATGCTGGTAGGAGGGTTGGTGGTGGCTTTGGTTTTGATGGTGGTGCGGGGGGGAGCATGAGAAGGAGTGATGGAGATTTGATGGGTAATTCTATGCTGTTGCGGGCGCAGCAGCAGCAGCAGCAGCTCCAGCAGATGCTGGGCCAGGGGATATTGAAGCCGGGGAATCAACTGCCAGCTTTTCCTTCACCGACATTCTAGTTATACGTTGGTGGCTAGAATCTAGGCCTAACTAAACAACATTGATTGTACGAATATAGGAATCTATTGTGGCATATTTCATGGTAATCTTAGTAGTCATGTTCATTGGCTGATTCATCCGATTGTGGTTGGTTTATTCCTAAGATTGCGAGTAGAGTAGATAACCTGCTTTCTTCACGTGTATTCACAAATAATGCCGAATCGTTATCAGCGTACAGTGCCATTTCGATTTTGGTGGGGAACGTCCTAATGAGTATTTGCTATTTTTGCAATTTGCAATCAAGCCCTTCATGAGACCCTTCTATCACAACCAGCCGCTGAAAGACTAGTAGCGTAATTTTTATCCCCACGCTGCTTCACTTACGCATGGGCTATCCTGCAATGCACTCGCCACGCGAAGATTCGAGAAAGTCGATAGCAGGCGAGTATCACAGCCGCGATTTCGAGTGGGAGGAGGTGCGGCTCGAGTGGGAAGAAACATTTGGGCCGTTGGATTGTGCCGCCCTTAGCTTCCCGACATCTGAACGGCGAGATCAAGAAGCGATTGGCGGAGAGTGGAAACGCGTGAATGCGAAGGTTATTGATGGCACAGAATGCTGCTCCGACAGGAGAAGTGAGACATCAGACATACGGAGATTAGAGACGTATATAAGGAGCGTGAATGCGAAGGTTGGTAGCATAGAAAGTCGGTCTGACCGGAACTCTCCCGGCGGCGAAAAGCAAAGGCGGAAGCAGCAGGCCCGGCAGCACCAGCAGCAGCATCAACGTCAGCAGCAGCGTCGGCAGGAACGGCAGCGGCGGAAACAGGACGAGACAAATTTTTCCACCGTAGATCCTCAAGACGTGGTTGCCAGGTCCGGTGATGCCGAACCTATCTCGGAGGCTTGGGACGGGTTTCATCAGCAGCATCGGACGGCCCAGTTCTTCAAGGAGCGGCGGTACCTGCTGCACGCGTTTCCCCAGATTCTCTCGTTAGAGTCACACTCAGTACCGGAGCATGATCCAATACAAGCACGGTTACCAGAACCTGCCGTGCCAGCTGCTGACTCAGCAACAATAAGTGATTCCTCCTTATCATGCCATGATCGGCCTTCATCATCAAGTGTATCTACTCCAACCGCATCCCATCCCTCATCACCACCGTGCCATCCCGTCTCACCACCGTCAACACCATCATCATCTTTTTCTACACCATCTTGCCATCCGCCTTGGATTCTGGAGGTGGGATGCGGCAGCGGCAGCTCAGCACTCGCCATTCTGCGGTGAGTGGGGTGAGAGGTTCAGGTCCGCCTGACAGCGTGTGACATCAGTTCCGCGGCTGTCTCCTTCCCCTCTTGTCTGTTTGCCCAACTTCTTGCCTCCCTGTATGTCCCAACCCTCTTTTTCCTCCCAGAGCCACCACGCGAGTCTGCCTAGCAGCCTGTGACATCAGCCCCACGGCTGTCTCTCTCCCATCGTGCCGTCCTGCTCTCAGCCGTCATCAACTTCCACTCTTCTTGTCCTGCCCTCCCTTTCTTCCCCTGCTTGTCCTGCCCTCCCTTTCCTCCCAGAGCCACCACGCAACTCTGCCTAGCAGCGTGCGACATCAGCCCCACGGCCGTTGCCCTCACCACCCACACTCTCTCACACGCTCTGGGGGAGCACACAGCCACACACCGCTTCCGAGGGTTTGTGTGTGACGTGGCACAGGGGGACCTTCATTCTGCCCTGACGTCCAGATTCACTGCACCTGGAGTGAGTGAACCCCCTGACCTGTCTCAATCCAGCGAATCTGGCGAATCTGCTTTTCTGCAAGCATCCCACAGCCCAGCTCCCCCATCCGGATTCAACGAACCTGCGCTGGACTCGGCACCGCCCGTTGCTGGATCCTCTCCTCCAGAATTCCGGGCGGCGTTGTGCGTCTTTACTCTGTCGGCGCTGCACCCGGATCGCATGCTGCACGCTCTGAGGCAGATACGCTCTGTGTTAGTCCCTGGAGGCTTGCTGCTGTTCAGGGACTATGGGGTGTTTGATATGGTTATGTTTCGGTTGCATGAGCAAAAGGTGCAGCAGCAACAAAGATTGCAGCAGAAGCAGGAGGAGCAGAAGCAGGAGGAGGAGGAGGAGCAGCAGCAGCAGCAGCAGCAGCAGGAACAGGGGCAGGAGAAACAAGAGCAGCAAAGGATACAGCGGGAAGGGCTAGAGGAGCCAAGGCTGTCTCAGCAACAGGCGCACGAGCAACAGGAGATGGAGGGAGAGGAAGTAACGGGGCAAAGAGGGGAGAGGCAGAGCAGAAAAGGAACAGCACAGCAGATCTGGCACGAGAAGACTCAGAATGGGGCGAATCATGGTAACTTGAGCTGTGCCAATGACCAGTTTTATGAGCGGGGGGACGGCACTCTAGCGTACTTCTTTTCGGTGGAAGAGGTCCGGGTTCTGATGGGCGCTGCTGGGTTTGAGTGTGAGGAGGTGGAGTACTGCTGTGTGCGGAACGAGAATAGGAGGAAGGGCCGGGAGATGAAGCGCGTGTGGGTGCATGGTGTGTT